GTGGCAAAGGTCTGACATCATTGTAATCGAGTTCAGCCGGAAATGGATATACGTTTAGATACGGCGATGGAGTGAAATATTGGCAGTCATTCAATGCTTTTAAACCTCTCGCTATAATGTATTCATTAAATCGTTTTGAGGACTCAATTGTCACGTCTTTTACTGTTTGCCGAAATATTTTCCACTCGTTTTCATCGCTATCTATTGGAAAACCTAATAATATAACAATATTAATAAATTTACTATTATAAACATAATAATCTTCAACATTGAATGCAATTAGAAGTGAATTTTAACTAAACATTTTTACGAGTTAAATACACAAAGTGAAACAAAAAGAAATGTGTGTATAAAAATAAGGTAAAATATATTGTTTGTTTGTTGTTTAAATATAATCATCTGCTAAATTGGTTTTCATTTTTACAAACCTGAGCCGTGAGGGGGCGTCCGATTATCATCGATTAATAGTAATGGATTACAACTACAGACCCAAACCCATGGTATTCCAGATTTGACAACACTGGTGTGATATACAACGTGATCAATTATGATTAGATCTGGACATAATTTATCAATATATCTCTCAATCATTTTATCAGTTTTTGGCCATTTTTGTGTCATATCGGGAAATAGTTGGCCCCAATAGGCGACCATCTTCTCCAGCGGTGAGCGATCGGTCATTAGGCCAATCCGTTTGGCACTCATCGCCGCTTTAAGTGCCATATTTTTGTCGGATTCTTTGTTTTCGGTCCAACTCTCATACAAAACCTCTTCGATGCCGTATTTTGTGAGCCGACCCCTCCATTGCTCGTTGATTAGGAACATAACCCGATGCCCGGCCCTCACCAACGACTCACCGATTCCTAGTTATACAGTAGGTTTGTAACAAAATTAAAAATGTTATGATCAAATATTGTAACATGGTTGTTTTCAGATACAAACTTTTATTGACAATGACTTACCAATGCATGAGTTTACGTGTCCAATACCATCACCAGTTGTTATTAGTATATTTAAACCCTTTGACATCTTTAAACATTGACTATCAAAACTACTCAATTTAAACTTATTTATTAATTAATGATAACCGTAAAATAATTGATAGACTAATAAACTAATAATAGACTACATTCTAAACACTTATAAATTATATTTTGTATAATTTTTTGAGATTTATTTAAAAATAAATAAATTAATGTATAATATATTATTTATAAACACACGTTGACTTAATGTAAAATATCTATTTTTATACTATCCTAGTACACGCACTAATACGCTTATCATTGCCATATTTTATATAATATATTTTACTGTTTAAGTTCGTTTACCATACAGTAAAATCTCTTTTTAATTTGTACCAATAATTGTCTAATTATTAGAATGTTAAAGGGTAATAGAAAATATGTAAATACAATGTAAAATAGTTATGCTCCACCATAATGTAATATAATTATTAGAATTTTAATAAATGATTAATGTAATATAGTTAACTAAAAATACTGTAACGTTATATGTACCAGTTGTAAGAATTTGGTAAACATAAATTATTTAGCTAAAAATATACTTTTAATAAACAATAATAAATTTTGTTGTAATATTTCAAAATTCGATAATTAAATATAGATTAACAGCATTAGTAAAATACAAATTAATAACTTTAAGAAATATTATTTTAAAATACAAAGAAAATCGTTATTTTATATATTTCTGACGATTCATAACATATTCTTCAATAATTTCTAGTAGTTTTGCAATACTATTATCCGTTTGTATTATTCGCGATATTTTCTGTAACATTTCATTCATTTCTTTGTCGTTCAGTAGTTTTTCGATTGCATTCAAGAACTCAGACTCAGTGGACAGATATGGGTTAAGTCTGACACCAAAACCTTTGTCTTGTACTCTCTGTGCGTTATTGTATTGGTCACCAAATAGTGACAAAACAATCATAGGTTTACCGAAATAAAAGGTTTCGGTGACAGTATTGTTCCCGCCGTGGGTTATGACCAAATCAACTAACGGTAAGACTTGGATCTGAGGGACAGACCCCTCGCCCCACATATTATCAGTCAATGAGTACTCGTCATGAAGGGGTCCTT